ATCGGCAACTGTCCCGGTGTACCCAGCTTGGCCAACCAACGGCATACACGCGTTGCCGGTCTTCGTGCCATCGCTGTTGGTGACGCAGATGCCCACTTGGCTTACCGCCAACGAACGCAGCGAGTAGCTCGACGGCACAACGTACACGATCCACTTGTACCAGTCCGCCATCATCGGGTACGGCAGCAAGAACCCGCTGAACAAGTTGAAAATGCACGACAGCGCACCGACCGCCACGTTCGCCACCTTGGTGTTCGGGCACAGCGCGCACATCCATTGCCCGAAGAACGTACAGATCGACGTGTACAGGAAGAACGTGACCCAGAAGAACACAAAGTACTCGGGCACCCAACCGATCATCCAGTACTCGACAAAGACAAAGAGCGACACTGCCACCACCAAGTACGGCACCTCCGACGCAAACAGCGACAGACTGTACGGCAGCGGACCATAGTAGTTGGACATGCGCTCGCGGTAAAACACAGCACGCTCCAAGCACGTGATGTCGAGCACCGTCATCAAGTTGATGATCCCGATGAAATCCATCGAGTTGTAGATCAGCCCGATGTGCGACTTGATTTGAGACACGTTGTCGCGCGGCAACTTGTAAAACGTCGTGGCAAACACCAACGCGAACCACGGGAACGACGCCAGACGCACAAAGTTGTACTGGGGACTGCGCCAGTACGTCTGCAAGCACTTGGTCACGCACTCCTTGAGCTGGTTGCCAAAGCTCGTCGCCATCGGCGTCCAGTTCAGCGTCGAAAATGCCACAAACTCCGTCGACGGTTCCGCCAGGCGAAGGGCCTTCTCCACGTTGTACTCGCACAGCTTGCTGTTCTTGTACTCCACCGAGTAGTCCTTCGTGTCGCGGCCGATACCAGCACCAATCACCTCCAGCATGTACGTGGCAGGGTTGTACTGAGGACGAATCTCTTCCGTGCCAGGGATCGACGCAAAGTACTCCAACAGCTTGCAACTGTCCTTGCCAAGCTCGCCATAGTAAGCGATGTACCCTCCGCGCTGCAGCAGCAACAAATCGTCGAACAACTCAAAGATCGAGATCGAAGGCTGATGGATCGTGCACAGCACCGTGCGGCCCGTGCGCGCAATCGACTGCACGCCCTTCATCACCGTGATGGCCGACCGCGCGTCCAACCCAGACGTCGGCTCGTCCAAAAACAAGATGCTCGGGTTCGCCACCACCTCCACGCCGATCGTCACGCGCTTCTTCTGCTCCACCGACAGGTCGCCCACCTGCTCGTTGATGATCCCGTTCAACTCGAGCAAGTCCAGCGTCTCTTCCACCAACGTCCGCTTCTCCTCCGCCGTGATCGTCTCTGGCAACCGCAGGTTCGCCGAAAACCACAACGCTTCCCCAATCGTCGACATCTCCGAGTGGATGTCCATCTGCTCGCAGTACGCCGTGATGCGGCTAAAGTTCACGGGGTTCTTCGGCTCGCCGTTGATGATGATGTCGCCGACGATGCGGCCGCCCGTCTTGCGTCCGGCAATCACATCCATCAACGTCGTCTTCCCAGCACCCGTCGCCCCCATCAAGGCGCACATGCGGCCAGGGGTGAAGCTCGCCGTGATGTTGTTCAAAAGTTGGCGCTCGACCTTGGTCGGCAACGTCACGTAGTAGTCCAAGTTCTTGATGACCAAGTTGGCCGGGATGAACGCAAGGCCCTGGTTCTTCTTGCGCTCTTGCTTCACGAGGGTGCCACCAGGAGTCGCGACCTCAATGTACACGTTGTCCTCGTCGTCTTCGCCCACCTTCGACCCACCAGCAACTCCCAAACGTTTGTCATAGCGGAAGAAATGCAGCGCTGCCGTGTTCATGGCCGTGAACAGGACGTAGTACGCCAGCAACACGGCAATGCCAATGCCAATGTAGCTCTCGTCGAACGAGTCCATCTGCACACTCTTCAGGTTCTTCGCACGCTGGGCATCCGTGTACTTGTCGTCGCTGTAGAACTCGTTCATGACTACGCTGCGCAACCCCCACGCCAACGGGTTGAACCAGTACATCCAACGCCAGTACGACGGGATCAAGTCGTACAAGATGATGTTGCCCGAGAAGAGCAAAAAGAAGCACACAGAGAACGCCGCCAACGTCTGTCCGATCGTGATGCTGGGCGAAACCGAGCTCAGGAACGCCATGTACGCTCCCAACGCGTGCTGGAAGCTGATGCACGTCGCCAAGAACGTAAAGAAGCGCCCCGCGTTTGCTGACAAACCACTCATGAAGTAGAAGAACGTGCACATGAGCAGCGACACGCACAAGTTCACAGGCACTTGCACAATCGACTCGGCGATCGTGTACGACACTGTGCGGAAAAAGTTGCGCGATCGCTGCTTGTAAAACACCGATCGCAGGGCAAACCCGATCGTGATCTGCTGCCACGCCTGGCGCTGGAACACTGCGCACGAGAAAAAGAGCATGCGCAGGTAGATGCTCGAACTGGGCTGGTAGTAGATGGCGCCCATGCACAAACCAACGATGAATGCTTCGGCCAACTTGCCCCACAACAGCGGACGATCGCGTAGCCACAACGTCTTCTGGCGACCCAGAAGGAGGAGCGTGCTCTCCATGAACGCCATCGCAAACGGCGACGTCTCCTTCGTGCGCGCAATCGCCGTCACGCTCTTCAT